CTAGAGATCTTTACTGTGGAGTTTTGAAATAATTATTCATGTAAGCGAAATCGTAATGGAGAGAACAGAGAAGAACAAAACAAAGTTCCCCTAAATCAACACAAGAAATGGAGTCCAGGCCTTGAATAGAATTTTGACTTTTAAGTTTATAGTGTCAATCAATGTCTTTATAAAGCTCTCCTCTGACCTAGCCCAGAAGCTGTAGCTTCAACATGAACTGGTGCCAGATGGACGGTCTCCACATTCATGGGATCGACTCTCAGTCTCTCAGTCATCCACTAATATTTTTGTATCACAAACCTGCCACTGGGTGGGGCCAAGTGCAGAAAAACTGAACTCAAAAGAAAATAAGGGGAAAAGTCTAAAGCAGTCCAGAAGGCTAGAGGGGCTACGAGGAAGCGACATCGGAGTGAACTAATAATGGACAGGAGAAAAGAAGGCAGTTGTAGACATAAATACAGATCAAGGGAAGGAGCCTGAAAGAAATAACAAAGTGGCAGAAGGAAAGACCCAGAGGAGAGGTATAAGTGGTCGGCTGGATTGACTATGTACAATCCTGCACATTTAGATTTCTTTTGATCTCTTGAAACTTTTAAAAATATACATTGAATAAATTTCATTAGTTGTTTTATTTTTGCAGAGCTTCTTTTAAGAGGTTTTAAGGATATACATATCTTCTATGCATGCTGCTGTTCCTTTGTATATGCTCATTCAACACGTGACCATTATCTCAACATAAAACTATATTATTTATATTAAATGTCTCTTTAAATTATGATTCGAACATCAATATATCACTGCTATATGTTTCGGTGGCTTAACATGTAAGATCTGGGGGGTGGTTAAGTCAAATTCCAGTTAGTTAACATATAGTGTAATAGTAGTTGAAGGTATAGAATTTAGTGATTCAAAAGTTAACTACAACACCCAGTACTCATTACAACATGTGCCCTCCTTAATCCGCATCACTCACTTAGCCCACTGTCACCCGCTCTGGTAACCATAAGTTCGTTCTCTACAGTTAAGAGTCTGTTTCTTGGTTTTCTTATGTTCCTTTGTTTGGTTTCTTCAACTCTACACATGAGTGAAATCATACACTATTTGTCTTTCTCTGACTGACTGATTTCACTTAGTATAATAGACACTAGTTCCAGCCACATCATTGCAAATGGCAAGATTTCATTCTTTTTTGTGGCTGAGTAATATTCCAGTATATATATATACACACACATATATATATGTGTGTGTATATATATATGTATACATATATGCATATGTATGTATATGTATATATGCATATATATTACACAAAGATTATTTTTTAAATAATATTTTATTTAAATAATATTTTATTATTTTGAACCCCAGATTTGCATGACTCATTTTGTTTGTTTGTTTGTTTGTACTATTCCACACTGCCTAATGTCTTCTAATACCTGCCATCAAGGTCATGTTTGCTGAGACATGAGGTCCAGGACATTACCTAACATGCTTAATGGCTCAGAGACAATAAGTGCTATGTGCCTCCATTTTAGAAAGGTTTTATACATGTCACCATGTCAACCCTAAAGGAAAAAAAATTACAAAATCATAACATTCAACTTAGGTTTTGTGTGGTTGTGAGTGTGTGGCATGACAGGTAATGCATATGCTTTGAGGCTTACCTAGGGCATGTCAGCATTGTTTCTGCCCCCTCAATGAGAGGGGAGCCATTGGGCTTTATTTAGGTTATGTAACTAGTACCTCTTCTCTTATTCCTGAGTATAGTTGCTTGGGCCACAGGTAGACTCTGACTCAAGGGCAGCCAGTATCCAGCAAAATTAAAGGGCTCTGCTGTTGCTTGGCACAGAGAGGTGCTGGGCCAATGAGATTTACTTCCTCCAGATTTTGAATTGAGAAATATGGGATCCAACAAAGTTGGAGTTATAGGAGTTGGATGTAACCTAAACTATGAGGAAATAGAAACAGAAATATGGAGAAGTCATGAGGTAAGAGAAAGTATAAAGAGTTGCATAAAAAAATGAACAAATCAGCAGGAGGAAAGGGAGCAAATGCATAGAAGAAAAAGATGTGACAGAGTAGTCATGTGGCCTTTGAACAAGAAAGAGAGGAATTGACTCTGAGGATCACCTTCCTTCTGATAGAATGACAGAATCAGTTTCAGATCTAGCCTGCATTTATAAATATAACTGCACAAATCCCTTGCTTACTATCTTAAGGTGTTTTAATGAATTTCTCTTCCATACAACTAAAAAAAAACCCCAACAAACAAACAAACAAAATGCTACCAACAAACAACACAAAAGTTAACCTAAACAAAACTGAAGTGATACAGACAAAAGTTACAAGTTGTTACCTTCTGTCAAGTAGAAGATTTAAGCCTTAAATTTCAAGCATGTTTTGTGATAAGGAAACTGATTTACAGGGCTGTGGATCCCATTGTGACTTACTGAATAATGGTCAGTTTGGACCAGTTAGCATCCAGGAAGGAAAGCAGAAGCTAGTCTACAGTCTCCTAAGAAAGAGGATTTAAATTCAGGGACTTTGTTACAAAATTCCTGGGAGAATTAAAGATGCAAAAAGAGTGAGAAAAGGATTACCTAAGGATGGGTAATTTCAGGGAACTCTTATCACTCCTTGAGCTGGAAGAGTAGAACGAAAGATGGTATGACCCAGAGTTTGACATGCTGGTTATCGAGGCTGCTAGAACATGCTCTAATATAGCCGTTGTGGTTAGGACCTCTGGTTCCACTTTGCAGGGCCCCTACAGCATTGACATCCCCCAACTTGTATTAACTTAAGACCCTATATGAATGTCAGACTTGCCCCCCATGACATGATTTTCGATGGAACAGTCTGCACCTGGGGCCTTCATGCTTAAAGGCAACAGAACTAGTTCAGAAAAGGCACTGAAGTGCCTTGTGCTAGATCTTCTCTGAGGATTCAAGCATTCCGATAATTTTATGATCAATTGCCTGTATTGAATTCTTGCTGTTTTAAATACCCAAACTAGCTTCCATTTTCCTGGTTGGATACTGACTTATACACCTCACAATTGATTATGGCTCGGCAGAAGGACACAACTGGAGATTCACTGCCCTGGGAGAAAAAAGTCTTCCCATTACCAAAAAGAATTAAGATAAATGTGGATTTGCAGATGATTTACTCCAGTGGTGAAGACCTCTCTTTTGTAAATAAAACCTTAACTGAAAGACCATTCCTTTATGGTAGGTGATGAATAACTCTTCTTCCTTAAGTTATATCCTAATAAGTATAGAGTAATATAACAGACAGAATAGACAGTGTATAAATCACCCATAAACTTTTACTCAGAACCCATTGAGAAAACATAAAAAACAGATCAGCTAACTAATGAGAGGCTGTGGAGGCCACATTATGGAGGCTGCAAGCCTTTTGCAATTGCTACTATCGTTGGGATCATTCTGTCTGAACCTAGAGGTCTCTACCTACCTGCATATACAAATGCTTCTGTGTATAGACACTGACAGAAATTGGCACATAATAGATTCTGCCTTCCAGTCTCCTCCAGTCCTTCATACTGACAGAGTCTAACTATAAGCCAGCTGGAAAAGAAGTCTTAGGAAGGTAGTGTATAGACTTATTTCATATCAGGAACTCAATGATGGGTAAAAATGGAGATGAAAGCCAACAAAGAATCAATTCAAGAGATAAACAAACAAAAAAAATCCATGTAGTTACAAGATGCTGAACTTTGTGAATATTTCGCTTTTCAGTACAGCAGTCCATAAACCTAATGCTGGTTTCTTATTAAAAAATCCTGGTGTCAGTTACCCAGTTACAAATCCTCATGGGACCCAGGGCAAAACCCATGCCCAGCTCTGAGGGTAGACTCTGATGAGTCTAAGCCTGGTTCTGGGATCTGTTTTACCAGTGATAGATCTATGGATACATATGTGAGCCATTTCTGGTCAAGGGCAGTACATGAAAAAGTGTTGGATGAGTTTTTTCTTAGCTCTTTGAGAGAGATGACAGGCCAGTCTCTCTTTTGTCAGACATGGTCAAGAAAGCAAATAGCCATGCTTGCTACTTTGCAAGTACGGGAGAAATTGGAATTAAATTTGCCAGTGTAGATGACCAGAGATCTGGAAAGAACCAGAGTCCTTTAGGAAATCACTGGGCTACTACATCCACCAATCCTGAGGTCCCCACCTACGCCTACACCACTTTTAATATTTTTTGTTGTTTAAACCAGTTTAAGTTGTTGGATTTTTGTTACTTGCAGCTAAAGTCACCATAATACACACAAATGTATTCAAGGTTATTTTTTATAATAGTGTCCCTTTTTTGCTTTCTGATAAACTTTTGTTGGAGATAAAGGGGAAGAATTACATCTAGAACATAAAGAAGTATATGTAACACCAAGTACACTCATATGACTCCGGTCCATTATGCCTACTGTAGAGGTTAAAAAAGCAGTAAATATTATCCACATATTAAGACATTAAGAGAGGTTGCAAAACCAATGTTAGATGAGTTAGGGTTAGGGTTAACTGAGACATGGACTGATTCTTCGGGCTTCGTTACCATATGGGAGACAGATTCTTCCATCTAGAGGATGTAGCTAGGACAAAACTGACGAAACTGACATGGAGGCAGGTTTCAGTGCATTGAAAAGTAAAATTATAGTTTCAGGACTGTCTAAAAATGGACAGGGCTTCTTTTCGAGAAGGAAATGAATCCCTTGTCATTGGAGATGTTTACGCAGAGATTACCACTCTGGGAGTGTTAGGGAGGGTGTCGTATTGGGGGAAAAGGCTACAGAAGAAGTCATCTGAGGTCTTTCCAACTCAAAGATAAAGTGATGTAACACCACTGAGCCCATGGGACAGCACTGCACCTAGTCAGTCTCCCTAACAATGAATCACCAACACACAGCTCAGCTTACCACCTCTAGTTTAGACTCTGTGAAATACTTCAGAAACAATTATTTTCAGGGGGAGAAAGTTAAACCTACTTACTAGAATGAAATGTTTTAGGAGTCCTGGGGTGGCTCAGTCAGTTAAGCATCAGATTCTTGATTTTGGCTCAGGTCATGATCTCACAGTGGTGGAATGGAGCCCAGCATCAGGTTCCGCACTGAGCGTAGAGGCTGCCTAAGATTCTCTCTCCCCTTGGCCTTCTGCCCCTCGATCTGTAATCTATCCCAGGAGTGACTGAAAGTTGGCACAAACCACACCACAAAGAGTAGAGAGTATGGGCAAAGTGTAGGCAAACTATTGTCCACACAATTTACCCCATGAGGTGGGCCTTGAGGTCAGCACAAGTGCACAATTAAAATATCACAAGATGAGCCACAGACCCCAGTAGGTAGAGCTCTTTTTGTCTAATGACCTTTTTCATCATGTGATAACAAATACAATAGTCTGGCCTCATAAATCATACCTCCAGAAAAACATCCACGGGGCAGACTGTGACACTGTTTGCATATTCAAATGTCACCTCGTTCATAAGAGGAAAGACAAAACACTTTTTTTCTCTCAAAAATGTCAGCATAGCTGGATTAGAAAAGATAATTCGGAAGTACTTCTAGACAATAATTACCCCTGGCACCTATCTGCAGTGTACTTAATGAATGGGAAGAGGAATTTTTTTTTTAATTTTTAAAAATTATGATTATTACAGTAATTAATCAGTTGCTCAGTGACAGCTTCCTTGAGGGGGGGGAAGTGCCTCAAAGGCCATCTTGCTTCTGTAGGGCACCTTGTTGATTTCACATCACATATGCAAAACATATTCTATTATTATTAGCAACAAAAGTGCTTGTGGAAGTAGAATTAGCCTCAATTTCCTAAATAGTCAGGAAACTCTCACATTTTACAAGTACAAGGAAAAAAAATTCCTAATCCCAAATGCCAGTTGGAAAAAAAATGTTTCAGACTCGCTCAGCTGGGGTTGTTAAACCAATCTCTTACTCTTAATTACATGCAAAAGGTTCCCGGTTCTAATTATGGACCTTGGGGAAATAGCCCATCTCCCCAAACCAATAACGCTTCATGTTAACTTCAGCTCTTTTGTGTTTAATATCCTACTGCTGGATTTCAGCTTCCCTAGATGATCTGTAAATCTGGCTTTTTCGACTTCATTTTTCACAGCTCTGCTCAGAGCAGGGGCTAGGAGACCTTGCTCTCCCCAGTGATTCTTTTATAACATTTGCTGCTACTCGAGTACAAAATTCTCTAACCTAAGCTGTCTGCATCAGAGGCAAGTTCTTCCTTGAAATTATTTCCTCTTCTGCTCTCCTACCTTTCCTCCCGCTGCTGTGCCCAACCCTCCAGTTACTACATCAAAGGACCCTGGAGTAAGGTGAATATGACATTTTGGGGGGGGGGACTTCTCTGCACAGGTGTGGAGGTGAGGGATGCTTCTGGAGGTCAACAGGCCAAGTGCCTTCTCCTACGTGGACACTGTGAACAATCTGATGGCCACGTGGAGCAGAATGCAGCGTGAGCTGGTGAGGCGCTTCGCAGCAGAGACCGTTAGCACTAAATTTTAGAGAATGGTTAGTCCAGAGCCCTCATTTTTCAGAGGAAGAGGCTGAGATATAGAAAGGAATCGAAAGGGACTTGTTCACATCACAGTGGGTGGGAACAACCATGCCAGTGTGTCTACAGACACCATAGCTGGGGATTGGGAATTCTTGTCCAGACCCTAGACTCATCTCTGTTCCACACCCCGCTCCTCCAGCTGAGGAAAGGTAAGCTCACGTGACCCAGGAGTTCACAACTCAGGCCCTGGATCATCCCCTCATCTTTTCCGTTAAAGAGTGATTGGGCTTCACACATCTAAATTCTTTCAACAGTGAAATGGGGATTATAATACTCAGTCTTCAGGGTTATTGTTAAAAGGGAGGAAAAGGGATGGGGTGGAGAACAAACGGGAAAGCATCTTTGATGAGTAAAAAATGGAAAGGAATGATTTTCCATACATTTTGCAAGTACATCAGATCAGACCGCCTCTAACATTTGGGAGAATATTTTGGGGTAAATCCCATCTAACATTTCTCAGCAAAAAGTACTTTGAAAATGTTAAAATAGGAAGAAATCTGGTGGCATGTGGATGGGTGCATACTTTTTAAAAAGGAAGCTGGGCTGTAACATTTTTGCACTTTATTTTTTTATTTAAAAATTTTAAAATATTTTTTTATTTTTGAGAGAGAGAGAGAGACTGACAGGGAGAGAGAAAAGAAAGAGAGAAGGAGCAGGGGAAAGGCAGAGAGAGAGGGAAACACAGAATCCGAAGCAGGCTTCAGCCTCTGAGCTGTCAACACAGAGCCCGACTCGAGGCTTCAACTCACAAACTGTGGGATCATGACCTGAGCTGAAGTTGGATGCTCAACCAACTGAGCCACCCAAGCGCCCCTCATTTTTGCACTTTAGATGGAGCTCATATTTTCCACCTAGCAGGTGCTCAGTTCAGTACATTCTCATGAAATGAGTGAATGTTCTCTTCTTCATTACCCATCCGAATCCTACCCCTCCCTCAAGTTTCATCTCAAGATTCACCACATGACTTCAGACCTGAGTGATTTTTTCTTTTCTTTCAATTAATGTCCACTATGCCCCAAGTTAGTGCTTTGCAACCTACAGGCAAGCTCTTGTTTATGGACAATGTACTATTACAATCTATCTCTTTGATCTGTGTTCACATTAGCATTTGGAGGAAATTATGTGTTCCGTAAGAACAGAGGCTATGCGTTATAGTTCTCTTATGGACCCATAGCACCTGGCACAGAGCTCATTTGCAAGCAGAGTCAGTCATGCTGGAATTCATTGACTGGTGCTCACACTATGGCCTTCTGTAAAACGTGTGCCTATATACATATAGTACAACCTCGGATTGCGAGTGACTTGTTCTGCAAGTGTTCTGCAAGATGAGCACACATTTATAATAAATTTTAACTTGATAAAAGAGCGCTGCCTTGCAATACGAGTAGCACGCGAAGACAAACATCACATGATCGTAACTGAGTCAATGGTTCTTTCTCTCTCAAGCTGCAGGATCATCTTCCATGCTTGGGTGCTCAGGCTCAGGCTGCAGTGTTTGGCAGAAATCAGTGATTTTTCAGAATGCTGGAAGGTGCCCATACTGACACTATTGTATTTTTGGTCAGTTCAGAGCACCTGGACTGTCTTTTGCTTTTCCAGGCAAGAGTAAGCTTAGGAATGCTCTGCTTCATTCTAGGTCAGGCTGCCTGCAGATACAGACCCTTTCCTCTGCCGCCTTATTGCCAGGTACATTAAATACAGTATCTGACAAGAGTTTATTACTACAGTACGCTAGTCATCATACATTAGTGATAGTGAGTGTCGTCCTACACAATAACCCTCCTCTCTCGTCTCCTTCACACCAGCCACGAAGCTTTTCAAAGATAAGTGTAGGTAAATTTGCTTATTTTTCTTCAAAATTGGTATTTTCTTTATTATTGTGTATTATATTATGGTATTTTAATCATTTTATATGAATATTTTTGGGTTGTGGAAGGAATCATCAGAGTTTCCATTATTCCTTAAGGGGAGATTCGCTTTGATATACAAGTGCTTTGGATTGCAAGCATGTTTAAAGAAAGAATTATGCTCACAAGCCAAGGTTTTGTTGTAGTGGAATCTACGGGCTATACTTTGTGTTAAATGCTTGTTTGCCAACTCTTAGGTAGGTAGGTGGCCATTAACTGCTAAGAGATTTCTGACCTTCCAGGTGGCAGTATATCCCTGAGTCACAGATGAAACCACATATTAAACAGAGCCACGAAATCTATCTGATCAGAAATCCAAGGTTAGGTAGCAGATGAGAAATGGTTAAGTAGAAGTGAACAAACTGATGAATCTTCCGTGTAGGGACTGGGGCAATTCTAGTTTATTCTGGAAAAGGTGGGGGAAGGATTCTAAGAAGTAAATATAGACTATTTCTTCTTTGGATGGTTCAGAGTGTTTAGCTTGGACTGGGGATAGAGGTATGATTTAAAACAATAGATTTGTAATGAGTGACTAAATCCAGAGATAACAAAAGGAAAGAACGATTGTTTTTAAAAAATTTGCATCACAAAACATACCATACACAAACTGTTAGCTTGAGCTAACACAGATAACACAGATAGCTCAGACAAAGAGATAATATGCCCAATAAAGAAATGATTTTTAAAATTGAGAAGAAAAGACCAAAAAGTTGATAGAGAAATGAAAAATAAGACACACAAAGACGATTCACAAAAAAGGTTCTTAAAAAATGAAAAAATGTTCAAGCTTACTCCTAATAAATGACATACACATTTAAATAACTCTGAGATGTTATTTCTCACCACACAGACTAACAAAAGTTAAAAAGAAAAAAAAAAAGACAACACATTCTGGGAGTGAAGCTATAGGAAAACAGGCACTCTCATTTTCTCTGGAGGTAAATTTAGCTAAAATGTAGTAACAAAGCTACAAATGCACTTGCTTTTTGGCCTACAATCCCATGGCTAGGAATTAATCTCTATTCATAGAAAACTATATATGCAGAAGGCTATTCCTTGTAGCATTGTTTGTGACTACAAAATATTGAAAATGACCCAAGCGTACAGTCATAGAGTAGTGGTTGTATAAACTATCTTACATCCACACAATGAAGAGCTAATATGGTCATAAAAATGAGAAAGAGCACTATAGGATAATATGAAATGATTTCCAGGGCATGCTGGTAAGTAAAAAAGTAAAGCGTAAAAGAACATGTATGGTATGTTACCTTTCTATGTGCAAGAAGAGCGTATAAGTAAAAGCACATGTATCTACTCATTTGTGCAAAAGAAATAAAAGAAGGATGATTCACAAATTAAGGAAATGGGTTACTCGCTAGAAAGGAGAGGCAATTGAGAATGGGTGAAAAGAAGGGAACATTTTTGTTTAAAAAGTAAGATTGGGGTTACAGGAGTGAGAAAGAAGTTTACTTCTCTGAGCATAACCTCTGGCTCTCAAAATCATACTAATGTTTCTTACAACCTTAAGATTTCACCAGAATAAATGAAC